AAGCCTTTATAACAGTACTGGCAGCAGGAAGTGAGGGCTACGCTTCTGGCTTCCTACTTGCAATCCCCTTTTGCATGAAGTAAGGTATTTTAAAGTGATTGTTTGATTGTGTTTTAAGAAGTAGGGAATGGTGCCGGTAGTAAAACAATAATTACAATTGTTAAAATTTAGAATAGAAGAGTTTGCAAAGAAAGTGGCTATTAAAAATGTAAGTTGGTGGTACATTAGAATCACAATAGTGAGATAAGAAATGGTATTGAAAACATTCCTATATATTTAAGACCCTTTCAGATACATGAGACATATTTAATCACTGCCTTGAAGGATGACTGAGTATCTTTCTGCCTGTTTCATTACCAAATGAAATGTCTTTTCTGTAAAGTTCTTACCTTTCGTCACTTTCTTCAAACTTACCTCCACTGAAAGATCATGCAGATCAAGGAAAGAGACTTTACCCAATATTATGCAACTAGACATGCTAAATGACATTTACAGCTTACTTAGATGCATATTTACCCACCATATTGGGAATATGCAGAGTGCAGAAAAAGAATAACAATAGCAAGACACCAAAAGTAAAGGCACAAGATAAGAAAACAAAGGAAACAGAGCTAAAACTAGTTTATACTAGCCAGTACACTAAACCACATCTATCTATCCTCGGAAACCCTCTTGGCTTCCACTACTCCCATCCTCCACATCATACATTGCCTTTTGTATTTTTTAAAGTACATCCTGAATATGTGTCAATGCCTTGCATGGACAACTTAGTAGATATAGGGTAGAGAATGGACATTAGCTTGAAAAGTAGTCAAGTAGACCCTAACTTGGACAGTATGCGCACCTGCACATTTGACAAAACTGGGCCTGTGACATACTGGCCAAAACGTGTCACCCCTGACACGGACTGTTAGCAGGGAATGCTACATGTGGCATGACTGCAACTTAGGCTAGTAATCTAGTTTAAACCTTCTCTATCTCACTAAAAAGCGTTATATGCATAGCTAACCACATACACTTTCTCTCCACTTTCTCCCTTATGTAGAAGCTTTTTAATTCCATCCTGGTTCCCAATCGCTACAGAGATGTTGTCTGAGACAAAACCCACATACTTCTTTAGAAAGAGTCCTGAACCAGAAAGACATATTTCAGCGGCTTTACAATACTCTCAGCAACCGCATGGTTTGATGTGGACAAATGCAGAAAGTGAGTCTTAACTGAACTTAAAAAGTGACAACTGCTGAAAGGAACTTTCATCCTTATCAAGACTGCCATCAGGACTCGGTGAAAAGGGTTTTTTGTTTTTGTTTTAATTACCAGAACTTTGGGACAATTGCTTCTAGATGGCTGCATGACATATGTCTGCTGCATGCATATTTCTTAGCTATTTCATTGGCTGGAGAAATTCTGTCTTCCAGTCTACTGAAACTTTCATTTACAGCAATTAGCAAATTGTGCGATGGTTAAACAAAAAACACTCCCCTCCCCACCCCCACCAAAATAGTTCTGAATTCCCTGTTTTATCATGAACTTGTGTGAACTAGACCAAAAGTTCATCAGCAGCCAGGGGAATTTCAACTCTTGACTGGAGCACTTAAGCAATCCTTAAAAATAAAATGCTGTTGTATAAGCAAGGATGTGATCACTTCAGTCGTCTTTTTTTAAAATAAAAAGGATATGAATGGAAACATTTAGGAACTTTATTTTAGTTCTAATGCTATTCATAGAGAGATAATAAAAGCAAATAATCTCAGTGGTTTCAGTCCATCAGGTACCCCAACCTGTTATTTGGCAACTCA